CCCAGTCACAGGCACCCAACCTCATGCTGCAGCGCTGCCGAGCTCATGTCAGTGCTGTTCTTCCACACCATGCGCTACAAAGCCAATGATCCCCGCAACCCCAGCAATGACCGCTTCATCTTGTCCAAGGTGGGCTGTCGTTCCATGTTTGGTTATGAGCTTCCTTTTAGTTTTCTCAAAGTGCTTAGAGACTAAATGTATTCCACCCCTCATGCTCCTGTTTTCAGGGCCATGCTGCTCCCATTCTGTATGCTGCCTGGGCAGAGGCTGGATTCATCAAAGAGTCTGAGCTGCTAAACCTGCGCAAGATCGACTCTGACCTGGAGGGTCACCCCACCGTAAGACCTAAGACCACCGCATATACATTAGCTTTCAAACGTTTGGGGTCGGTAAGGTTGTTTTAATGAAAAAAACTCTGGTGCGTAACAGCGCAGAGAAAACAAGTACAATATATTATAATAATAATAATAATAATAATAATAATATATTATAAATTATAAAAATAATATAATAAAGTTCAACATAACAGCATTTATTTGAAATAGAAACCTTTTTAGTTATTTAATAATAATAATAATAATAATAATAATAATAATAATATTATAAAAATAATATAATAAAGTTCAACATAACAGCATTTATTTGAAATAGAAACCTTTAGTAACTTTAGTTATTTTGATTTAAATGTGTGCATCATTGCTGAATAAAAGTATTAATCTTGCTGACTTAGTGTATCAATTGTTTCACATAACCATTTGTCATGCAATTAACCTCACTTCTCTGTTTATTTCAGAAACTAGCGTTTGTGGATGTGGCGACAGGTTCTCTTGGCCAGGGTTTGGGTGCTTCCTGCGGTATGGCATACACTGGAAAATACTTTGATAAAGCTAGGTACCTACGTTCTCCCAGTTCTCCACATTATTTGATTCCCTTTTTAAATAAAGTTTTTCAACAGTTTTTCTTTCATACTATGATCCTCTGTACTACATTGCTTGTGTACACCAAATGAAACGTCTCATGCTAGTATGGCTCCTAAACAAAGGTTTTGCTCTCAGACCATAGTAATAAATAAAAAACAGTGCAGTACAGGAAAATGCCCATTTCTGCTGAGCATTTGATGCTGCTGTAACTGGACGTGTCTGTCTTGTCTCACTAGCTACCGTGTGTACTGCATGCTGGGAGATGGTGAGTGTTCAGAAGGGTCGGTGTGGGAAGCCATGGCTTTTGCCTCCTATTACAAGCTTGACAATCTGGTGGCCATCCTTGATGTGAACCGCCTGGGTCAGAGTGAGGCAGCACCACTGCAGCACAACATGAACACCTACAAGGAGCGCTGCGAGGCCTTTGGGTAGGTCTCACGACTACAGCAAGTTTTTATCTCTTGCCTTGTTTGAGATAGCAGGGTAGTATACTACTTGTACACAGTACATATACTCCAGAAACCACTGAACTGTGCAGCACAGCAAACTGGAGCTCCTAATAAAATTGTTTTATTAAGCACAGTCACATTTTTTATCAGATACATTGCTATTTTTTTATTTTTTTTTCCTCAAAAATCTTTCAGACCTATCATTGCATAGTAGGCAGTATAGAGTGTATACTAAGCAGTGTGCTAGTATTCTATTGAGAACCCAGCCACTCTCTTTGTATTTCATTTTTTGTTCAGTCATTGGCATGTAACCAATTTGTTTCTTCAGCTTCAACACTTATGTGGTGGACGGCCATGATGTGGAGGAGCTGTGCAAGGCTTTGTGGCATGCTGAACAAACGAAAGGGAAGCCCACTGCCATCGTAGCCAAAACATTTAAAGGCAAAGGACTCAAAGGTGACTAACTATATCCTATACTGCAAGACCAGCATTACATTAATGAAATGTGTTATGATGTTTGTTAGAATGGGCGATATGGCAAAAAAATAAAATTTAGATTTTTTTTTTTCAGAACGTTTGACTGATTCTCGATTTTTACTAGTCAACTTGAAAATGTAACTACAGCATGATCCATGTAAATTTTTCTTTATTAACCATCTAGTTAAAGAAATTTCTATTTTAAGTGCACCACACATGTTGTCAACATGATGTAAATGTTAAACAAATCACTTGTTAACGTTAAATATCTTTGCAAAAAAGATGCATGAACTACAACTACATCTTCAAACTTGTCTTATACATATATGTTCAGAAATAATACAAAGAAAATACTTTTTTTAAAAATCTCAAAAATCAAGGTAATTAAAATTCAAAATGACTGAAGATATAACACCAGTAGACTATTTAGGGCCTCACGATTAATCGAAATTAAATTGCAAAGGTGATAAATCGCGATTAGGCAGAAGCTGCGATTGTCATGCGTGTCTTTCAGTTAAGCACGATTCTGTGATCAGTAGTAAATCTCCATCCGAAGGCCAGAGGGCGCTCTCACACGGAAACTCCAAATACGCCTCGCAGAAGAAACCCAGGAAAGGCCTATAGCCGTTGCTGAATAAACAGGAGATTTAACTGCTTGCATTGATTCAAGGTGACTAATAAACACATGACTACAACAATATATGGTTTATCTGAGTTCGTCTTATTATAATTTTTATTGTAATAAAGTATATAATAATGCAATGCAAATCGACATAGCCTTTATCACTGCTTAGAATACTATGAAATTTGTTGCGTGCCTTATTCTGTGTAAGAAACCACATCATCTCACAGAAGGATTTACTTCAAACACTCGTCTGATGTTATGAAGTGAGTTTGGAGTAAAAACATGTTATTAAATGTGCAAACAGCTTTCATAATCGCAGAACGATATCTTCGATTTCATAATCGCGTGATTATGAACGCGATTTTGCATAGCTTGTCAGTGAACTACGGCTCTGTGTAGTAAATGCTGCTCCATCTGAAAGCACGTGCTGGAGATTTACTACTGATTACAGAACCGGCTTTACTGACAAGATGCGCATGACAATCGCATTCAATTAATTGTGCAGCCCTATGACTATTATTAACTAAATGTTCTGTAAAAACAGTGAACAGCAGCTTTGAGCCAGTCAACATGATGCAAACATGAAATTTCAGATATACACTAGTAGTTCTTTACAGGTTTTTATTTGATTGCGCTGCTTTTCCACTGTTTTTTCTATGTGAACATGGACGCGTTTGACTGTTGCGCTCGCGTCTCTTGCAGCGTCTCATGCATGAAACGGCATTCTAAAAACGCGGCGCTCAAGTTAAAAGAACTTCAATCCCCATCTTCCTGCATTATTTTTCCTATTGCACTGCCCACGTTGCATTTTTGTCGACACAAAAGCGCATTCTGTGTGAATGGCACCTTGTGTTCCTTCACAAAGCGCGTCACACGTGAGTGGTTAATCACATGCGCCGACATGCTGTTGGATCATTCTTTTCTCTTTACTGTTAACATTGGCATATTGTCAAAGTGTCTAATTCTAACGTTTGGTAATATTTCTGTTTAATATCTTGATTCCTCAATTTATAAAAAATAAAATCGTGGCAAAACATTCAATTCAAATTAATCTGTAAAATCGGAAAAATTGCCCGGCCCTAATGTTTGTCCTCATTCTCGTGGTCTGACCTGTGATCTTTGTTCAGGCATTGAGGATCAGGTTAACTGGCATGGGAAGCCTATGCCTAAAGACCGTGCGGAAGAGCTGATTAATGACCTCCTGAGCCAGATTCAGTCTCCCAATAAGCCCCTCCACCCTCACCTGCCTAATGAGGATGCTGCTCCATCTGACCTCACCCCCATCCACCTGCTCACAGCTCCAGAATACAAGATCGGAGATAAGGTGATGACATGTCACTGTAGATGTTGGAGTTTTTAAGTGGTTCTTTTCTTTGAGCAAATGCTTCCATGTCTTCAAAAGTTCCTCAAAAGAAGAATCTATAAAGCTTCTGCTTTTGTTTGCCCACTCAGATGTCCACCAGGAAGGCCTATGGTGTTGCCCTGAAGAAGATGGGGGATGCCAGCCCTCGTGTGGTGGCCATGGATGGTGACACCAAGAACTCAACCTTCTCTGAGATCTTCAAGAAGGCCCATCCTGATCGCTTTATTGAATGCTTCATTGCTGAGCAGAACATGGTGTGTAAATGGATGGGATTTTTCTCCCCCTTTATAATGATAAGTAACAAGTCATGATGGCAAAGCAAAAGTATATTGGCTGACAGTGTGTGTCATATATGAATGGGTCTGTAAACTGTGTTTGTAGAGCACTTTGTGATAAGTGTGGTGCACTATTCATACAGCGCATTGTAAACACCTGACCTCACCCCGATTTAACTATTGTTACTATTCACTTTCTGACTAATATTTTTCACTGCCTTACTCACTGCCTTAAGTTCTTACTCAATAGGACATGAATTCCCACAATGAGAAAGAATTCCTTTCTGCATAAACGTGGTTATTCTGAGGTCAATATAATCAAAAAATTATTTTTATAAAATATTTGTATTAAAATATAACTTACAGCAGTAATTAGCCAGGTTGTTGTATTAAGCGGTGTATTAAATATGTTATTGTTACTATAAATGTTTAAGTATTACAAATTAATATAAAAAACACACTACTGTTAAAATGTTTGGGATTATTTTTTATATGCATGCGTTATATTTTATCTAATATGATGTTTTAAATGTATTTAATTCCCTTGCTATCCAGGTGAGTGTGGCCATTGGTTGTGCTACTCGTGATCGCACGGTTTCATTTGCCAGCACTTTTGCTGCCTTCTTTGCTCGTGCCTATGACCACATCCGTATGGCTGCGATCTCCCAGTCTAATGTCAACCTGGTTGGCTCACACTGTGGTGTTTCCATTGGTAAGGCTCTGTGCTGTGAAATACATGGATTCTTTCCATTTTATCTGGTCTTAATTTATAGTCAAATCTCTTCTGAATCTAACATATTCAATCTGAAATATTTATTTGAAATGTTTCTTAACTTCTAATTTTGTCCAGGTGAGGATGGCCCCTCGCAGATGGCACTGGAGGATCTCGCAATGTTCCGCGCTATCCCAACGTGCACAGTGTTTTACCCTAGTGATGCAGTATCTACTGAGAGAGCCGTGGAGCTTGCAGCCAATACAAAGGTGTGGTTTATGGTTTCCACCTGATGGTCTATTATAGATAAAGTTAATCTATTGTTCTTTGGCTCAGTGTTCATGCCATTCCCTGCTTTCAGGGTATCTGTTTCATCCGTACCAGCCGACCTGACAATGCAGTCATCTATGATGCTGGAGAGAAATTTGAAGTTGGCAAAGCCAAGGTGAGGAGAATTTTAAAAAAGAGAAGACCAGAACACACTTTTAATTAAATTATTTATAGTTTCTATATTTAGTTACAAACTACAGCAAAGAAGGCTAAAGTTAGCAGCCATGCTGAACCTTGTCAATTTAGTGTGATAATGTGTATAGTAATACAGTGAGCAAATGGGGCCTCCTGTTGGACCGCTGTGAAATGTCTGGTTCACAAGGGTTGTTCTAACAGTTCTCTTTCTGTCCTGTAGGTGGTGCGGCAGTCTGACAAAGATCAGGTGACCGTCATTGGAGCTGGAGTAACTCTGCACGAGGCACTGGCAGCACATGACCAACTGGCCAAAGAAGGTTTGTTCAGCGCCTACTGCCCATAGCAGTACCTCAGTTACACTTTAGAGAATTAAACATAACTTGTGATGCAAGTATACTAAATGTATAATCTCTTTTTTAAAAATGAACAAATTAACCGCACATTTTTTTCTGAAATTAATTGCGATTAATTCCACCTAACATTAAAGTTTTTAAATTTACTTTTAAATTGCAATAATTTCACATTCAATCTTCAAATTAAAGTAGAAACAACATACAGTATATTTTTAATATTTGTTTAATGGCATCTTTATGACTGAAGGTGAGTATCACATACCAATACTACTGATGTCTCTATGAATTTTTATTTCTTTCTAATATTTAACCTTTGACTATAGCCATTCAACATTACAGTATAATTGAGAGCTATCAATTTTAACATTTATTAGACTTTAAAAAAATAACTTCTAATTTAAGTGAACTTAAAACAATCTTCACAAATCTATTATAATGTCATATTTAGCTAGCTGTGCTCTTTAGCAAGTAGGAAATATACAGAAATTGAATAAAGTTATCAAACATTAAATTCTAAATTAAATATAGATGAATCCTTAAAGCTACAAAAGTTACTGATTTCCTTTTTTTTTTTTTTTTTTTGCTCCTCACATTTGTGTAACTACAAAATTTGCTGTTTTCCTTTTTTTTTTTTTTTTTTGATTAACAGGCATCACAGTAGCTGGGTTATTAAGGTTATTTTATCTGCTTTGCCGCTGCTGAACATGTCACGGATCTGACACGCATCGTATTTTCTCACAGCTCTTTACCTTTTTCTGACCCTTCAGCTCTTAAAGTCTCTACTAATGAGCTGATGAGTTGAATCGGGTGTGTTAGATGAGAGAGAGAGTGCTGGGGTCCAAGACCGTTTTGAAAACCACTACATTTCAGAGACATGTTCTTAAATGTGACTCATATATAACAAATACTTGCATGCATACACCGTTTTAAGGCAGCTTTAATCGCCTTTTTGGTAACTTCATCACTTAGGCTAACTGATGACATAACTACGACATTGCATGCTTGTAGTATCTTTTGCGCCTCAATATGAAATTATATACAGTGTGCTGCCACATTTGTGCGTGCAATTGAAGAGCACGTGCTATGAGCACAGTATGGCTGACAGGAAAACTAATTTTTACTGAGTTATGACCTGACAACTTCTCATCTGACCACAGTTCACTGTTGTTCTCCTGAAGCTCCCTCGTCACCTGTACCCTTTCCGCGCTCTTTGACTAGCGCCTGGCGCTGAGGCGAAGTTGGAGTGTGCGTCTGAAAAGTCTCCCGTTTGATGTGGTTGTAAAGACGTTCTAAATAAACCCAATTCTTGGCAAGAAAAAAAAAAAAAGACCGAAGCAGCAGTTGTGAGTGGGGTGGCCAACCATAGCTCCCCCTCTGTGTTAATTTGCGTTAAATATTTTTAACATGTTAAACTGAAAACAGTAATCATGTGTTAACATGTTAATTTTGACAACATATATATATATATATATATATATAAACTGCATTTTGAGCTGTGTAAATGGAAGATGAACAAAAACTGGTAAACTGAAGCAGTTTAAATATTTAAATTTAACAAACTATTAATAATATACTATTAATATATACCATTAGGTACCATTTTAGTCACAATAAAATGTACTAATTTAACTAATTAATGTATATGACATGATGAAAAATATCCAAATCAACGTCAACCATACAAAGCCCACAACCACATCATAAGGGGGCAAACTGCCTTGGAGCTACACAGCCCCTCTTTGACACAGGATCTGAAACCACCCTGATTAAAATACATGGAGAATAACTAATGTTTCATGCCTCAATTGTTTCCACTGCCAAGGACAAAGCACAGCAGCACAAGCTTAACTGCTTCATAAATCTGCTTTAGATCGGGTGACAGACACTATTCGACATGTGTTTTTGTGTTAAAATTAGGGCAAATAATTGATCAGATCAGTTAACTTTCGTGCCATAGTTATTCTATTCTATTTAACACACAAGATGTTCAGAATGTGCTGAAAAAGACCCATACATTTGTGAAGATCAGCAAAAGTCTAGCTCTGCTAGGCAAGTGCTAAAAGATTTTTAGACACTGCTATGAGAAAGTGATAAGGGATCAAAAGTGGTTTTGAAGGGATCGAAAGGAAAAAAAACTGAAGACTAATTTAAATATCTTTTTTGTCTGTATCAATGATTGCAGATCACATTAAATCTGGTTTGACTGTACGTGTATGTTCACAACTATAATTTAACATTAAATTACTATACATACGAGTACATATGTTCGCTGATGTTAGTATAATATTATATAATGCACAGCATATTATATTGCTGTTTATGCATGTATTATATGCCATAACACTACAGGTTAATGGGTGTTGCTGTAACTCAAAAAGCTTGCAACATCAAATTCATGCTTTAGATTCCCAGGTAATGCATGAACTGAGAAAGTGTCTACCTTGATACAATGTATGTGTCTGCCAAAAATGTAATGTAATGGGTGACTGGAAACTCTATTCACAA